AACTTTGAAACATGTACTGTTATCACTGTGATGCCAGATGCTAGGGATAGGTTTTCATGCGTTTAGGTGTAGTGGCATTATGGGGAAACTGATCTGTCTTGGCAGAGGTTTGCACTCTCTGAGTGCTCTCTAGTTTTGATGGTTTTTACTATGTCTTTATAGCTTATGATTGAGTCATTTGCAAAGAATGACTTGTGTGAAGTTTTTGTATCAACTTGATTTAATATAACAAACATAAAGGGTCATTTGAAAGTATTAACTGATTGATAGTGTTAATGATCATGGTATTTCCTGTGTATAAGTGGATATTGTGGCCTGATGATGATAAAATTAGGATTCATCCACGGGGGGGCCTTCTAGAGCATGGATCAGGCTGCATATTTCTGTCCAAACCTGACCCGAGAGTGTGGCATCCAAACCCAACCTGGACATGATAAGCTTGTAGCATTGTAATGTCTGAACACGACCTGAGCCCCGAACCATTGAGTTTGTGTGGCGTTTTTCTCCTTATCAATAAATAAAGTAGATGTTTGAGTGCTCCAGCCATCTAGCTTAAAGTTTGACCCACATGTCCGAACCTGGCCCGAACTCTCAGGTACTGATGGGTCCAGTTGGGCTCGGTTCGGTTATCCACACTTTAGGGCTGTCAGTATATACTGTACTGTAAAATGCATAACTTAAAGCTACACTACCTAATTTCTTTACAGCCTTTTGAGGTATAATGAAACTCCACAAACGCCACAGACTGACACCACACACTGCCCCTAATCGTTCTTCTTTCCTAGTGAGGATGTAAACTACGCAAGCCTGTTCGCAACAAAATGCGGGATAGTGGGTAGAGGAATGACAACGCGTCCCATTTTCACTTGCTTTATCAGACAAGGTGCAAAATCTTAGTTAGTGTATCTTTTAAGGCACTAGTTGTGCAGAAACCTTATCATCAACCACGTCATTAGGATCACTTTGCCAGATGGTGGAGTTGCACAAAAATATCACTTCACAACTCCCTAAAAGTCCAGGCAGCATTTGTTGAAATTTCAGACTCTGTAGCAAAGTAATACAAGAACATGAAAGTTTCAGTGCCCTATTTTTCTGTTCTCGTAGTCACATTTTTTCCTATATGCCTCCATTTTCTGTTTTGTCCTTAAGCAAGTGGAAAAGCAGATCATTGCCTGAGTATTGTAATCTTTTGGCAGTCTCCAAGAAAGAACTAAATTTCTCTTTGTTTGACTGGGGTTTGTTTGTTATTCTCCATGTGTGAGGGGAAAAAGTGAGTTGGAGTGCCCGCTGATGTGTTTGTGGGAGGACGCTTGATGACATGGTTTGAGAGGGAATAGGCTTGGCCCTTTGGGAGGAAGGGGGCTGGGGTGGGGGACTGAAATACTGATGCACCATAGGTTTTTGCCATTAATCCCCTTGCCTTTAACCCTGCCATGCTTGTACACAGCAGATAAGGTCTGCATTGTTTAATGCCTGTTTATACTGTTTATTTTGCATTGTTTGCACTGTTTGTTGTTTGTTAATACTGTTTATTTTGTTATATTACACAGCCTTATGTAAGTTTACTGTTTATGTGTCCCTTGCATGGGGATATGTACATGCACATTGAGAGCCACTGTACCAGAGTCAAATTCCCTGTGTGTCTGACACACCTGGCCAATAAAGCTGATTCTGATTCTGATTGTGATATAAAAAGTCTACACACCCCTTTTAAAATGCCAGGGTTTTTGAGATTTAAAAAAATAGGACCAACATAAATCACTTAAGAACTTTTTCCACCTTTTAACACATAAGCTGTACAATTGAATAGAAAAACAAACAAATCTTTTAGGGGGAAAAATACAAATAAAAATGTAATGCGGTTGCATAAACTCGCACAACCTTAAAATATTACTTTGTTGAAGCACCTTTTGATTTTATGACAGCATTGAGTCTTTTGCGGTGGGAGTCTATCAGCATGGCATATCTTTCCTTGGGAATATTTGGCTAGTCTTCCAAATCTGTCAGATTGCAAGGGCATCTCCTGTGCAGAGCCCTCTTCAGGATTTTCAGTTGGATTCAGGTCTGGGCTCTGGCTGGGCCATTCCAAAACTTTGTTCTTCTTTTGGTAAAGCCATTCTTTTGTTCATTTGGGGGTGTGCTTTGGATTGTTGTTATGTTGAAGGGTGAAATTCCTCTTCACTTTAATTGATTTACCATCAGTTTGAAGGTGATTGGTTAATTCTGAACACAGCCATATCCCTAATTATGAGAAGATGAGTACACTTATGCAGCCACATTATTCTATTATTTTATTTTTTATTTTCCCCACTAAATCATTTCAGTTTGCTTTTTAATTGAGTTGCACAGATTTTAGTCCACATTAAAGGTGGAACAGATTTGGAAGTGATTTATTTTGGTCTTTTTACATCTCAGAAACCTGGCACTTTAGCAGGGGTGTGCAGACCTTTTATATCCACTGTATATATGGTCCGAATAAGTTTCAAAGTTAATGTCTCAGAGCTTGGAATGAATTGACAAACAACAAGACACAGCATAAAGTACAGATTGAGACATCTGTAAAGAGCTGGGAATTTGGCTCCGTAGCTAATTATGGCAACAATAAAATGTCTGTACTTTTATTACAATAAAAGGGGAGCTACTGTATGTCATATATGATCTTCAGCTTTATGTGGATCTACGTAGGCTTACTGGACAGCACAGAAAGAGAAAACAATAGGTATGTGTTCTGAGCAACATGAAGTTTTCCCCTAGCTGCACCCCACTGCTGACGCACTGTGTTTTTTTGGAGTCTGTTGGGGAGATTTTAACGTTATTATCTCTGTCAGTTAGGCTTTAATTTCTTCCAAATGTTCCATCTGATTGCTATTGGCAGTCTTTGTGTACTTAGTGTGATGTGTTTGAAATGTGAGTGGGCCTTGGCTGGCACAAGGCGGTGGGCTAAAATACAAGGTTTGACCCTGAGATGAAGCCTGGCCACTGATGCTCTCATAGTATACCAGACTTTCTAAAGGAAAAGAGCTGTTTGGTGGCTCTTTCCAACCTCATGTCTTTGTGTGCCACTTGGACTTCATGCATCTGTAAGTTACACCCTGAAAGTGTTTACATTAAGTGGAAGGAAGTTTACACTATAGGAAGATCTCAGGCTGTGGTGAAGCTTGTACAGTAAACCACCTGAAAGACTGTGGCTGATGAAAGGGAAGCTGCATATCATGAAAGAGCTAATGTGGATGTGAAATATGACCCTGTAAACACAATTCAGTCTGTCTTTGGCCGAACTGAACAGAACTGTTCAGTAACATTGACTGTGCTGTAGACAGAACACCGAGACCCAGCAGACTGGGCTTCACTGTCCTTACGCCCTACTGAGTGCTTGACCAGTTTGTAGTGGTGCCTGTTGTGACTGTGACTAGAATGAGAGCATCTACTAGAGAGTAAAAGATTGATAATAATAAAAAGCATCCATCCCTGTGTCTTTTTACTAGTAATTCACCAATAATGACTTTCATGGCTGATAACTGGTTGATAAAGATTCGCCGACAGTTACAGTTGACTTCTTAAATATATTTTGTGTTCATTCTGGCCAGAGAACATGAAATGTACATACAAGTGTCGATGTCAAATCATACTGAAGAAACAGCTCTGCACACAGAGTTCTTAAACCTACATGTTATCAGAACAGAGGACCTTGGGAGTACCGGTTGAAGCCGTCTTCCACATACGCACACAGATGTCAGGATGCTGACTGGGATAATACCTCTCATCACACGGGCTCATAATCTAACTAACAGAACTAAACGTTTTGACAGATGAAGAATATCTGCATCTTAACTCACTGGATGTTTGTCCACAGTGGTAATTAGGTTTTGTTATGACTGATACAGATATAATCATTTATAACATTATTCATTCAATTGTAAAAATGTGAAGAACCCTGTAAAAGTTAACTAGTTAGTTTGACTAGTTTCTTTCCCACTATCATTCCATTTAATTGGTGAATACCGGTATCTTTCAGTTAGTCAAGAAGATACAGTCTCGAAGTGTAAGAAGAGTATTCTCATTGAGAGGCAATGGGGAAAGCCTCACCTTGGACATATGACCTTTATAAAACCCTCTGAAACAATGATTTGCTTGTTTTGCTCAGTTTTGCCATACCGAGCAAATGATTGCTTACAGTTTGACTGTCTAGCGAATTGCCCTATACAGTTTGACATATAGAAAGTTGCACAGTGTGAATTGAATTAAGACCACCGACCAAGCTGACAGTTTTTTCACCTCAAATTGTCCATGAACTTGTCACATCTCCAAGGCAACTAGTGAAGGACACAGCTAATGGTTAGTTACAGGCTTTATAACACAGAGTGCACTTAAAATGTCGTTTGGTTCTTCACCTATGTCATTAGAGAAGGTCAAATTTGACCATTCAAGGCAAACAAAAGTGAATGAGAATATAAATGGAACACTGTGTACATGTCTCACATGTCTTTTATTTTACTATATAATCTAACATAGGCTGAATGAAGAAATAAGCTGGAGACAGAATTTGCCTTTTTGTGTGTGACTGTGTGCCCCATACACCGCATGACTCCACAGTACCACCTTTTATTATCAACACACATAACTATTTACATACACGCCGAAGCCCATAAACCCCATCAGGCCCCTCAGTCATGGCGCTCTGCCCCAGCTGACTGGTTCTGCCCCCATAACAGAACATGAACCGAACAGTAACTCACAGTTTGCCCCAGCAGGGCATGCTGGAGGACCCCTCCAAGCCCTGCTCCACCCCGATGCTACAATAATAATTTGTTGATGATGGTGATTGTAGTGTGATTGCTACTGGCTATACAACAGTTTGCCCCTCGAGGATAATAAAGTTGTCTGAAGCTGAATCTGAACATGCTTTACATAAATAAACTGTGTGAGACATGACATTTAAATCCTGCACATAATGTAGCATTTGATATTTAAACAACATTTTTCATTTTTCTTTGCTCCAGGGCCGGTGTTTCGCAACCAGTGTGCACTGCAGCCTGTAGGAATGGCGCACCCAGTGCAGGCCATGTTGGAGAGCTTCACCGCCCTATCAGGCTGTGCAAGCAGGGCCACTACCAGCCTCCCTCAGGAGGTCCACATCATCAACCTGAGAGGACATGCTCCAGAAGGACAGGACAACACCTTGGCAGAAGTGAGTCATCTTTAGCAAACTAGAGCCTGAGTTGTATTTTCTACCATACTGAACTCTTCACCAGAATCAGTTAGGATTAGACCGAGTCAAATAAAGAACACGAGATGCATTCGACCATTATTGAAAACCATATGTACTCTCAGTATATTCATTATTAAAATATTAATTGATTGTGTATTGGTTTGCAACATTAACAAATAATCCAGTGAGAGAAGGTCTGCCCTCCATGCTGTCGCTTCTTCTTCTTCAGCCTGCCAGTCCTTTTCCCTTCAGTCACATTAATATGGCACAGTGATGTTTATTGTCCACATTTGTTCTGTAGCTGCTGAGCTACCAGCAAATATGCTAGTGAGCTAGGAATATGCTAATGTTAACTCTAGTTTCTATATTATTGGTACTGTGCCATTTTATTCTCTGGATTGTGCTATATGTAGATCATTTTAGTCAATAAAGTGTTATTAAAAGGAGAATAAAGATCACTGACCTGGTGAATTAGCTTATTGTTAGTGACCACTCGAATTAAAGGCAATGTTAGTGAAATCAGTCGATTTCACAGCAAAATTGGGTCATTTTCAAATGCTGGTGTGACCTTTTCTTAACCTTCCTGTTATGTTCTGGGTCAAATTGACCCAGTGCAAAGTAACAAAAAAAATCTAAAAAAAATAGTTAAAAATATTTTATTGGTATGAAACTTCATCTGCTTGGCTTAATAGGTGTGATCAACATATAAAATGAAAATGGTTCAATTCACATATTTGCAACATCCCCCTGCATGTTTATATTACAAAGATACTGTTCAGGTCAACATAACAGGGGGGTTAACACATTATAAGTAGCTGATGGATGTCTTTGTTATTAGAAGACTCCAAAAGGCAAACTAAAATATCTTCCTTTATCAAAACATGTAGTCACTTTGGTTCCCCTCACCTGACACATAACTTTGCAATGGGTGAAAAAGAAGACAATCATTATTTAAATGGTTGGTATTTTCCGCTTATTTTGAGCACATCTCTTTAGTGTGCACATTCAGAATGTTAGCACACCTGCTGATAGTGTGTGAAGTTGGTGTCACTTTTGAAACTACGCCCTGTCTTCAGGGTTCATACAGCATGTCTCATGGCAGGACTCCTCACACTTAGCCATAGTTTGAAGATGAATCATGGACCCTCGGCCTTTAAAAACGCTGTGTCTGTATTCTGAACAGACAAAAGTTCCCATCCCCCACAGTCACAACAGTGTGAAACAAATCATGTATAGACATGCCATTGCAATTTTTCTTCTTAAATGTTGTCAAGGCCACATACACAGAAACACTGTGTGTGCTGCATCAGCAGGTAAATACAGAACTTACTCTGTGATTTCACTGGCTCTGTGCCTGTTTTGAAACTTTACTACATGAACCTAAATTATACATTTCTATGATCATAATAACGAGAAGGATTTCTCTTTGTCATGTTAACTCTGCACTTAGAGGCATTCTTATGAGATTTGTCAGGCGTTTTTTTGATTAGGATGCTGTGCAATTGGATAAATTAGGCCCAGCATGCAACAATATTTAAGCCATGCTTGATAGTAACTTGCAAAGTTTGCTTTTCACGAGTATTCATACAGAGAGACTGGAGTGTGATCCACTGATAAATTACCTAATCACATAATTTACCCTGTGGTCAGTGGTTTTCTGCCTACATGGCGATCACTGAGAATGGAGGAGTTTGTTTAATGTACAGTACACGGTACACTCATTCTACATATGCTATGTAGAAGTATTTACATTTACACAAAAAACTTCTTTCAATTTGAGCTGTAGAAATTTAAGTTTTTTTGTACTATAGTATCGCATCCATAATATACGGTATAATATGTGAGCATTACTTTTAACTACTGTTGTTCAGCCATATTCAGTATAACAGCTTGTTTGTTTGCCCGTCACATGGGTGCAGTTACAAGTGAGACTCCTGCTTTTGTCTTCCCAAGTTACTGTACTATTCAGTGTAATTATAATGTAAAGTTTTTTCTAGTTTCCCCATGCATAAAAGTGATTCTGTTACATTAAAACAAGCCTTTTAAAGCATACTCTGTGCTCCTCTGAGTGAACTGTACTCCTTGCAGGCTGCTGGAGTGCCAAGTAGGAATTGCTGGTTTCCATGTAGCTCTACATATATGCCTGTGTCAAGGGGGATTATGATTTTCACACAGACAGATATTCACATGAAACAAATGGAATTAAGTCTTACACCTACACAACTGCTGTAAGATAAGATCGTCGGCCCTTCTGAGGCAGTTTTCAGACCGAGTGGTCATTTATGGGACACGTCATGCAAGGCAAAATCAGATTTTTGACATACATGAAGCAGACACATTCAGATTCTGATCATCTATTTATTTATTTAGTCTTTTGTTTTCTTTTTTAACAAATTATAGAAACCAAAATGTATTCATAAATGTCCATTCACAGCATTAATGTTATGGATGACTCATGTACCAACTTTGTGTCTGTGAAATAAATCTCTTCACATCAATTAATCAGCTTTGTAGTAACCCATTACCTCCATGATCAACTGAGGACTTGTGCAGAGAAAGCATGTGTTTCCCTGCCTACAGCCTTGGCTGCAGAAGGCCACTGCGGCCCTGGCTGAGATTAGGTGGCCCTGCTGAATCTCATTCCTTGATTAGAGATTTCTGTTAGTGATTAGATAAGATCCCGTAAAGGACGCATGCATACTCTGCCTGCTTGCGTGCTAGGCCTTGATGGCTTTGCCAGCTTGAGATGTGGGCATAGATTGGCTTGTTCTGACACATTTGTAAATGTTTTGCCTTCACCAAAGCTGTGTTGGAAGGAACATGAATCATCAGACTGTGTCTTATTGACAGACTGCCCTTGATCTTTTGTGACAGATGGAGGTGATAATCAAGGAGGAAAACAAATTATAGTTTGCAACGAAGGGTATTTTAACATTTTGCCCACGTTTGGAGACAGATGGTCTCACCAAAGAAGACTGTGCGAAGGACCACATTGTTTTAGATTTTTTATCAGTGACAAATGGGAGTTTTAAACCCTATTTTTTATTTATGACCCAAATTGAAAGCAGGTAAATTTTGTGGCAGAAAAGATTGAAAGGTGTCTTACACTTACCTCTTAAAAACAAACTTTTCCAAACGAAGAAACCCCACAGCCTCTTTACTTGACAAAATGTTTTACTGGAATTGAGTTTTGAATATCAAACCCTAGAACCGTTAAGATTTGAAAGTTGGCTTTGTACAGTAGCTTCCTCCTTTGTAGGAAGTGCAGGAATAGGACTGCAGCCGCTTTGGATTTACAGCTGTTTCAGTGGATTCCAGCGAAACTCAGTTTCATGGCAAATGCTATAACTCCCACATAAAATTCTCGCACCACTCTTGAAGCATTATCCATTTCTCCTTTGTCCATCCATATCCTCAGTGTGTTCCAGTGTTATTTCTTTGCTAGAATAAGTGCAAATACACAGGTTTGTTTGTTGCCAGTGCAGGTTTTGAGTAGAGATGCACCACTGATTGGCAGGGATTGGAAATGGCTGGTTTTCAGAGTGATCAGCTGTGTTAAAGATGGGTTAGGTCTTAGGTTAAAGTAACCTCCCTGGTCTAATATAGTCAAACTTGAACTCTAATGTACAGTTGTTATTCCTAATTTTAGTGATTTAATCTATTTAAACATTTGAAATGGAAGCATGCAAATTGATTTCACTCAGTAATTTCTCAGTTTGCTTTTGCACATGTCCTTTGCTTATTTTCTAAGTCAGCAGAGAGGTGCCTGTGATTATGTTGATTTTCCCTTCACCTCTGCTGATGGCGGAGGAAGTGGGGTTGGGCCACAGAGGAGACTGTATTTGGATGCTTTGAATGATGCTGTCTGGACTGAGGGTCTATATGCTTGAGAACATGATGTGCTTGGGGCTCCTTACTAAGTGTCTGCAGAGAAAATCTTTGATCAGGTAGTGAAATGAATCTTCTGTCGCACATGATGTGCATGGACTAATATAGATATAGGTCAGTTTCAGACACAGGCACTCATACGTTCTGCAGTTGTGATGTGTGAGGCCTGCTTTGCATCTCTTTCATGTCCTTGTGTGAAAGGCGCAGCTAGCAGTTTGTCCATATTTTTAGTAAAGACATGAGAACAGCGAATTGTTTCCTGGCTGCACCAGCAAACCCCTATATAGCCAAGAAGTATGAACTGTTATCCACAGAAAGTAATGCACAGCTGGACCTGGCTGAGAATACACACTTTGGCTCCTGGCCAGTCTCCACACCAAAGCTGAGTTATTAAGTGCAACGGAACACCTCAGTTGTGACCGTGCATAAGACTTGGTCTGGGATATACTCACAGTTACAGGGCTCACAGTCACCATAGAATAACATACCACAAGAAGAAAATGCGCTAATCATTTATTCAAGAAGCCTAGTGAGAAACACCCACAAAAATATTTTGGGTTGCATTCTAGTGATATACTGTATATGCCATGTGTTCAGATCTGCTCAGATGGAAATATAGTTGTCTAATGCTGGTTCTTTGGTTCTTGATGTAGCTATAATAAATGTATCATCTTTTAAAAGCACTTGTATTTAATGCAGGCACTGCTGATTAAATACTGTGCTGAGTAACAACAGCACTTAGTCTTTTGAGTCAACATGAAATAATGAATGTGGCAATTGGTTCAGCCTAGTTTTGCAGAAAACTGCTTCCTAACTGTGCTCAAGTACAGTATAATGTTCCACTGGAGAGCAGCTGATACATAATGAAACATAATGAAATCAGAAATTCATATCATCATTTGGAATTGCAGTTATTTTATTTTTCATTTATCTTTATTTTTATCTATCTTTATTTTACCAGGAAGTCCCACTGAGATCGAGATCTCTTTTTAAGGGAGGCCTGGCCAAGATGGCAGGCATACAAGTTTACAACATATTCAGATTCAGCACATGCAACATAATATACAAAAGATTCATTCACAAGATAAAAA